ATAAATACTACGTAAATTAAATTCTTTTGTATATAAATATCTTTTGTATGTTTAATATCTCATTTTTATTGGTAACAAATCTTTTTCCAATTGATTTTTTTTTTTAATCAATTTTTTTTTTTTTTTCCTGACGGTTTTTTTTTTATAAAAATACAAACCAAAAAAATTGATCATTTTTTTTTTTGTTTTTCTGGGTGTGAATAACTATGTATTCTTCATATAACTAGTCCTTTTATTTTCCAAAAAGGTTAATAAAGCCTTTTATTAACCAATCGCCTAGGTTAACTTCGTGCTCTAATGGAAACTTTACACTTATCCGAAAGTTCTATAATTTTATTTTTTCAAAGTCTTGTATTATTCCCCCATATATTTTTCTGTTCGTATTTATCTTTAGGCTTGATTAAATCGAACTTTTCGATAAAACTCAAAATAATTTTTTTATTCGATTTCTCCAGTTTTTCTTTATTTTATTAAATTTTGACTTCCATAATATATGTATAATCATTCTTATCCTTCGCAATAGAATATATTAATGCGTCTATTGCAAAATCACTGATGTAAGGTCCTTATTTCTTTTTATTATAGAAATTATAGTTCTGGCCTGTTTGTCGTTAAATTTTGTATATTACAACCTTTTTAGTTTTTCTTGCGGCTTTCTCATTAAATTTTCAGTAAAAATTGATCGTTTGCATCTACATCTTTGGTATAATATATAGTTTTTTGCCCTAGAATGATGATATAGTACATAATTCATCTATTGTATTGATTTATTAAATGGGTGTTCGGTGACTTTGATAGAGTACTGAACAAACAAATTAATAAAGAGCATATAGAGTTTCCTCTACAATTTTTGATGTATTTATATATATTTTTAAATGCTTTGAACGAGTGATCCTTAATTACGTGATATACTTCGTTCAGCATTCTTTAATTTCAATAAGCATTTATTTAGTTTAATAAAAATCTTTGTTTTTATTAAAAAATATTTTATATCCTTATTGAATATTGATTATTAATTAAATGTATCTTACTTGTTTCTTTGTTATGAGTTATGTTAAGCAATTTAAATATATTGCTGTTGAATTAACAAACATAAACAATTAGTAAAAATACAAATTAATTATAGGAATATTAATTACGTGAAAATTTTATTATTATATGTATAAAATTTTCTCTTACAAATTAAAAATATAAATACTACGTAAATTAAATTCTTTTGTATATAAATATTTTTTGTATGTTTAATATCTCATTCTTATTGGTAACAAATCTTTTTCCAATTGATTTTTTTTTTAATTAATTTTTTTTTTCCTAACGGTTTTTTTTTATAAAAATACAAACAAAAAAATAGATCTTTTTTTTTTTTTTTTTTTTTTTTTTTGCATGTGCATGACCAACTACGTATTCTTCATATAACTAGTCCTTTTATTAACACAAATGGTAAGAATAAGCACCTCTGAAAAAAGAAAGAGTATACAAGAAGATACAAATTCATTTATTGAAGAATATAATGTATATACCTTCAATTGTTTATGCATTAATAAAGCGAATAGTATCAGTAGATAAAATTTTTGCAGATGCTTTAAGAGATGTATCCCTAAAAGATATTCAAACAAAAAATTATAAACATTTCAGAGAATAAAAATTTTAGAGATGTTATGTTGTCATTATTAATTTTAGAAAAAAGAGATAGGAGGTCACACAAAAAATCAGATACATGCATATTTGCTAATGATACGTTAGGGAAGAAACTAACTCTTTATGTAGATTTTATAATAATATTACCACATGTTATTGTTGTAGACAAAAAGTTTATTTTAAAAAAGACTTTTTACATTGCAGAAAAAGATGTAATAATTACAATATGATAAATCATTTGGCGTCAGTATTTACGAACAAATTGATTAGAGATAAAGAAGATGAATTTAGAGGCATAACAACAGATAAAAGATATAATATTAATTTTAAGTTAATTAAAAATAAAACTGATTTGAAAAAAAATTGAATTATTGGTTAATAAAAGGCTTTATTAACCTTTTTGGTAATAAAAAGGACTAGCTATGTGATTTATTAACTGGGTGTTCGGTGAGTTTATTATAGTACTGAACAAATAAATTAATAAAGAGCATGTAGAGGTGTCTCTATGATTTTGTTGTATTTATATGTATTTTTATATGCTTTGAACGAATAATTCTTAACTATGTGCTCTACTTCGTTCAACATTCTTTACTTCCAATAGGCATTTATTTACTTTAATAAAAATCCCTATTTTTATTAAAAATTTAAATCTTTATTGAATATTAATTATTATTTAATTGTAATTTGTTTATTCCTTTGTTATAAGTTATGTTCAGCAATTTAAATATATTGCTGTTGAATTAAAAAACATAAACAATTAGTCAAAATGCAAATTAATTATATGAATATTAATTACGTAAAAATTTTATTGCCATATGTATAAAATTTTCTCTTACAAATTAAAAATATAAATACTGTGTAAATTAAATTCTTTTATGTAAACATTATTATCTGTATAAGATCTCGTTTTTATTGGTACTAAATCTTACTCTCGATTTTTATTTTACCAATTTTCTCTCCTCCTATTAAATCATTTAAAAAAAAATAAATATATTTTTTTTACGTATGTTCATTTATTAAAAGAAAAATATCTCAAAAAAAATTCAATAATTTTTTTTTTTTTTTTTTTTTGCGTTTACACAACCAACTACGTATTTTTCATATAGCTAGTCCTTTTTATTACAAAAAAGGTTAATGAAGCCTTTTATTAACCAGTACTCTAACAAAGTCACGGAACACCAAGTTAATAAATCAATAGTATATATAACTTAAATAACTAATAAAGTTGATATTTAATATGATTAATAAATCTTTAATTATTTCATGTAATAATTTATTGTATAACAAATAGAATAAGTAAGGATTTTTCTACACACTCTTTATTAATGTTTGTCTAATTCTAGTAATGTAATTCAACATTGAGTTAATAAATCACTATCCTTATAATATTAATGTCATTAAAAAAAAAAAAAAAAAAGATTGAATTTTAACTATTGTATATTTACTACTTAAATTAAGAAAAAAAATGAAATTCTAATATAACGTACCATATATTTTCAACATAAATTTTACCAAATTAATGTAAAGTTTTTCATCATGAATTCATATACTTTCATATATTATGAAATTCATTTAAATTTTATGTTCAGACTTATTGCAATATTCTTGTTTTTAAATTATTATAAATATAGGAATATTTTAAAGACAGATAAATACATAATAACATAAAATTGGATTTAATTTAAATGTTTTTATGTAATTTTTATAATACAAATATGAATATTTTAGTATTGTTTAAAATTAAATTTATCAGTTTGTAGTATGTACATATATAATAAACTCTGTTTAAGGAGATTATTACTTGGTATATTAATTACCTATTCTATGATTTTGCTATAGTGCTAAAAGATATTAATAGAGAGCATATAGAGCTACTTTTACTAATTTAATGAATTTATGTATAATTTTAAATGCTATAAAACAGGTAAAATGAATTTGTGCAGACTTCTTTGTTTAGTATTCTTCGTTTTCAGGAGGCAATTATTTACTTTTATAAAAATCCCTATTTTTAATAAAAATTCAAATCCTCACTAAATATTGATTTTAATTAAATATATTTTTACTTTTTAATAATATGAATAATGTTCAGCAACTCAAGTTTGCTACTTCGCAAGTTAACAAACGTAATGAAATATAAATTATATTATATAAACCTTACAAACATGGAAATTTTGTTAATATGTATGCAAAATTTTCTCTTAAAAAAAATTCACTACAAAGAATCTCTCTCGTCAATAAATTGATTTCATCTTTTTAGAACACTATTTTTCCAACAAAACCATTTTTTAAAAAAAAATAAATATATTTTTTTACGTGTATCTTTTATAAAAAGAAAACAAAAAAAAAAGTAACAAGTAACTTCTTTTTTTTATATGTATATAGCTCTTGCATGGCTAATTACGTATTTTCCATATAACAAGTTATTTACATTCTCAAAAAAAAGTTAGTAATTCCTTTAATTAATCATTATTAGAAAAAATATTATCTATTTGGTTTTATAATATGAAATAAGAACTTTTATTAACAAATAAAATTAAAATTAAATATAGAAATTATATTTAAATTAAATTCAAAAGAGAAATTATAATTATATGAGTAAAATCAAAGTAAATAAAATTAAAAATAAGTATTATATTTATAATAAAAATAAACGTGAAAAATATATTTAAAAGAAAATATAAATAGAAATATAACATTGAAATAAATTAGATATATAATACAAATTAATATTAATTTATTACTAAATTAAAATATGAACAATTAATTTTATATCGTTATTTAAATTAAAATTATTTTATTTATTCCTTTTATTTTTTTATGAATCACAATAATAATCATAAATTAAAGTATATATTACATATATATTTTTTCTGTATTTTTTCCTTAATATTTACATTTATACTATAGAAAAGAATATTAATTTTTTTATATAGAAAAAAGTATATGACATTTAGGAACTTAAACTAAGGAAACTTTTTATTTGAATTCCATATAAAATGTACATATCAAATTTTTTATTTTTAATAGAGCTTCCAATAAATACATAAAATGAAAAAATGTAAATTTCCTACTATTAATTATATAAATATTTTTACTTTTTATATTTTAGAATTTAACGATTAAAGAGAAAATTTTCACATAAGGCTTTCAATAAATACATAAAATAGAAGAATGTAAAATTTTTATTATTGATTTTATGAAATTTTTTATTCTTTATATTTTACAATTCAATGATTAAAGCAAAAAATTCCACACAATAATTCCTATAAGTATATAGAATGGAAAAATATAAATTCCATATTATTAATTATATACCCATATTTTCATGTAAAAACATTTGATACTTTTAATAAGAGTAATAATTATGGTTCTTTAGATCTAGCAACCTTACCCTGAAAATGATAAATATGGAATTTATTTAATGAAAATAATATATATATATACTTTTATTTTACTTTTCATTATTATATACTAAAAAATGGAAAAAATATAAAGATTAAGTATATATATTAAAAATCACTAATACAATTAAATTATTTATGAATAGCTTACTTTTCTTCTATTTCTTCTTAGTTTTTTATATATATAACACCAAATAAAAACAAGCATAATTAGGAAAGGAAAAAAAGATATTGCAAAAATAGTAGATGGTCTAACGTCGTTTTCATGCGGTATAATTCTAGAGTTTGTGGATCTCATTTCTGAACTTTCTATATATGGATTTATACCTTTTACAGCACTAATTTCTAACTTATCACATGGATATAATTCATTCATTTTTTCATATTTACACAAATATGGAGTACAATGAAAATTTCCATTTTCTTCTATACAATTATTTGGGAGATATATATATTTTTGATTTTCTTCATAATTTATATACTCTTTTATATTAATTAAATTTCCATTAAATTTGGCATCTTTGCAAACTATATGACCTCGATCGTTCTTTTTGCATATAGAATATCTGCAAACGTGGATTTTATCAAATCCTTCTGTTGTAAAATGGCAGCTGTCTTTACTAAAAAATATATCATCATATTTTAATTTATTAATTGTATGCCTAGGGTTTGTTATATCTTTTAAGCCAAATTGATGATTATTATCATCTTCTCTATTAATAACATCAAAGGATCTAAATGAAAGCCTTTTTTCAAAATATTTTTCTTGAATATACTCACATAATGTTAATTTTTGATTTATTTTACGTATACGACATAAATATGTATTAGATATTAAAAAACGCTTATATGGATATACTTCTAATAGGAACACAATACCATTTTTATTATCATTGGAAAGAATAGTTATTTTAGAATCTCTATTTTCAAGTGGTTCAGTAACCTCATGTGTAAAAATATTTTTTGAAAGGTCATTTGAAATGTTACCTGAAATATATTTTATAACTGATTTGAATGTAGGATCACAATATAGCGTTCTGAATTTAGTCTTTTTTATAAAACATAAAAAAACGTCACATTTGGTAAAGTCGTCATCAGAATTTTTACATCCTTCGTTATATAGAAGAGCCATTTTTAAAATTAATGAAAGACGTATTTATTTTTCTTCTTATCCCCTATAATTTTGTAAATTTCTTGTTAATATGTTTTGTGAGTGTAATTTTTTTATTTAAATTATTATCCTTTTTCATATCTTTTTTTTTTTTTTTATGAAAACTTTAATTTCTTAAATAATACATAATAAAAATATAAGTAGAATTAATTTTTCATCTGAATATTAAAATTTAATTATATTTCTTCCTTTTGTGAAATACATTATTATAAAATTCATTATTAATAGAATAAACTTTTTTAATCATGTTATATTTTTTTGTATGAAACACAAAATACATGAAAATTTAAAAATTTTTTAGAATTATAAATTTAATAAAAAATAGTAATACTAAAAAAATTATTATACAGAAAGCATCGCTTTTCTTTAAATTAGCAAAATAAAAAAACTTCCAAATATAATAAAATAAAATGTTCCTTCAAAAATAATTGAGAGAATAGATTTACAAATGATGTTATATTATTATTTGTAGAGTTATTGAAATTTCAATTATATATTATTATGTTAGTTATTTAATGTTATAACGAAAATTTTTGTAATTTTATTATAATAGGAATGTTTAATTAATGATAATCAAAAATAATATGACATAATTGGTTTTTATGTAAATGGAGATATAAATAAAATAAAATTGCAAAATAAGTAAAATATGAATAAAGTGTAACTTCTCTAACCATTATAATAATGTAAAAATTATTTTACTTTAATAATTATACCATAAATATATTCATTGTTATCTGTAAATGAAGCATAAATTAGTAAAATTTGTGCACATGCAACAATTCTTAAAAAAATAATTAAAAAAATAATCTGTGAAAAAAAAAAAATTAAATATAAATATAAATATAAAATTAATATATTTATAAAAGAAATTTATTTTATGCTCATTATTTAAAAGAGAATAAATATATATTATACATTTTTAAAGGATGACATAAAATTTTTTTGACTTCAAATTTAAATTTTATCAAAATAAAGAAATAAAGTTAAAATTAAATGCATGCAAATATCTTCATACATTAAAGCATTAACAATAAAAGTATATAAAAAGGTAAAAATAAAAATATATATAAAAATAATTATTTTAATGGAAATGTAAGTTTAAAAGATAAATATGTTTTAATAATGATGCAATAACATCACATGAGGATATTTTATTAATAAATTTGAGAAAATTAATGTAACGATTTTATTCAACATGAATAAATATTTAATCAAAGAAAAAATTAAAAAAAAAAAAAATAAATGCAATAACAAGAAATAAATTGAAAAAAATAATAATAAAAATGGTAAATTTTTAAAATAAAGAGAAATATAATTAAGAATGAAATTATTTAGATTCTATAATTATTTTTAAAGGAATTATAATAAAATGTAAAACAGAAATATATTTAATAATTATATTTATTGTTAAATAGTCTTCATTTTAGATACATTATACTCATATTAAAAAATAAAGGTAACTAAAGGAAAAAAAAAATAAAAAAAAAATTTTAAAAGATATTCTTATTTTTACATATATATATATATAATATATAATATATTATGCTATCATTTATTTGATAAGCTCTTTAATCAATTAATGAAAGCCTTTATTACCTTTTTTGAGAATAATGATTAATAACTATATGGAAAATACATAACCACCGATAAGCGCTAATTAAAAGAAAAATTAATATTTTATTTTTACGTATTTTTTCTATAGAAATAAATGAATTTCATTTTTGAAAATAGAAGTATTTTTACAGAAAAATTTGAAGGAAAAAAATTTATGAGAAAAATTTTATATTTTGAAGATAAAACCTTTTGGTGTATAAATAATAGTTTTTGTGTTTGCTCTTTTCGTGTTTATTTCTGTTAATTTAAATAACAGTGGATTTCAGTTTCTAAGTATTATTCATAAAAAAATAATTAAAGTATTTCTACTTAAAAATCCCTAATGGAGATTTATATTTTTTTATAAAAATATAAGATTTTTATTAAAGTAAATAAATTTCTATTAAAACATATGCTTAATTAAACTACATAAATATAATTTATTGCTTTGTNTTTTTTTTTTTAAATTGTAATTAATTTATTTCACTTTTAAAAATGCTTTTTACATGATTTGTTATTATAATTTCTTAAAAATAAATACCTATCTTCACAAAGTGTAACTTCTCTAACCATTATAATAATGTAAAAATTATTTTACTTTAATAATTATGCCATAAATATATTCAATTTTAGGTGTAAATGAAGTATAAATATAGTAAAATTTGTGCACATGCAACAATTCTTAAAAAAATAATTAAAAAAATAAGCTGTGAAAAAAAAAAATTAAATATAAATATAAAATTAATATATTTATAAAAGAAATTTATTTTATGCTCATTATTTAAAAGAGAATAAATATATATTATACATTTTTAAAGGATGACATAAAATTTTTTTGACTTCAAATTTAAATTTTATCAAAATAAAGAAATAAAGTTAAAATTAAATGCATGCAAATATCTTCATACATTAAAGCATTAACAATAAAAGTATATAAAAAGGTAAAAATAAAAATAAATATAAAAATAATTATCTTAATGGAAATGTAAGTTTAAAAGATAAATATGTTTTAATAATGATGCAATAACATCATATGAGGATATTTTATTAATAAATATGAGAAAATTAATGTAACGATTTTATTCAACACGAATAAATATTTAATCAAAGAAAAAATTAAAAAAAAAAATAAATGCAATAACAAGAAAGATATTGAAAAAAACAATAATAAAAATGGTAAATTTTTAAAATAAAGAGAAATATAATTAAGAATGAAATTATTTAGATTCTATAATTATTTTGATAGGAAATATAATAAAATGTAAAACAGAAATATATTTAATAATTATATTTATTGACAAATAGTCTTCATTTTAGATACATTATGCTCATATTAAAAAATAAAGGTAACTGAAGGAAATAAAAAATAAAAAAAAAATTTTAAAAGATATTCTTATTTTTGCATATATATATGTATATAATATATAATATATTATGCTATCATTTATTTAATAAGCTCTTTAATCAATTACTGAAAGTCTTTATTACCTTTTTTGAGAATAATGATTAATAACTATATGGAAAATACATAACCACCGATAAGCGCTAATTAAAAGAAAAATTAATATTTTATTTTTACGTATTTTTTCTATAGAAATAAATGAATTTCATTTTTGAAAATAGAAGTGTTTTTACAGAAAAATTTGAAGGAAAAAAATTTATGAGAAAAATTTTATATTTTGAAGATAAAACCTTTTGGTGTATAAATAATAGTTTTTGTGTTTGCTCTTTTCGTGTTTATTTCTGTTAATTTAAATAACAGTGGATTTCAGTTTCTAAGTATTATTCATAAAAAAATAATTAAAGTATTTCTACTTAAAAATCCCTAATGGAGATTTATATTTTTTTATAAAAATATAAGATTTTTATTAAAGTAAATAAATTTCTATTAAAACATATGCTTAATTAAACTACATAAATATAATTTATTGCTTTGTAAAATTAATATAAAATTAAAATCAAACTTGTATAGACTACTGTATTTTCTCTTTACTAAGTTGTTGGTTTAATACTTAATTTATTAATTGAAGGTTAAATGAGTTTACTAATATTGAACATATTAATAGGGAGTATGTAGAAAAATACCTATTTATTTTACTTGGTATGAAATAAATTATTATATGAAATAATTATTGATTTATTAATCATATCAAATATCAGTTCGATTGGTTATTAGTTATTCAAGTTAATATATATATTATTTGTTAAATTGTTTTACTTTGTAATATATTTTTTTTAAAATTTTTTTAACAGAAATTTTAATACCATATCTCTTTCCACTATATATATTTTAAAAAAAAAAAAATCATACCTTTTTTTTTAAAAGACGTTTGAAAAATATTAAAAAAAATATTATCATTTATTCGCGCAATAGTTTTTTTTTTAAGTCATAATCGTGTTCCCAAAAAAAATATATATATAGAAAATTTTTTTTTTTTGTATGTATTTAGATGTGCACATATTTCTAATATTCAGAATGAATAAATAAGAATATATTTAGTTAATTTATTTTTAATTCGATTTAAAATTTGTCAATAGTACTATTTATACACCAAAAGAAAAGATAATTTTTCCTTTTACTATAATATGAGATGGTTATATATGTCGAAAATGCATAAAATTCACCTAGTGTATTGATTTCATAGTAGTAAGTTCTCAGGGTATTATGGAATAAATAAAACTTTAAAAAAAAATCAAAAGTACTTTTAATAGAGTAATGTTAGTTTTTATTATCAAAGAATATGATATGAGTTATTTAGTTTTCCATAGAACTACTGAAAGTTTATATCGAAAAAGAGTTAGGATTTAATAGAACCAAATATGCTTTATATGGTTTCTTTAGATATTATTGAACATATGAATTATAAAGGATAAGAATATTTTATATGGATAGTGATATATCATTATTCTCTTTTAATATTAACTAATGCTATTAAAAGAAAACATACTGACAATGATGCATTTTTTTATAACGAACAATATATGGACTCGTATGTTCCATTAATCATAGACATTTTAATTGATCGTCATTCTATTTATACTAGACAATAATTTCAATACTACGTAATTAAAGAATTGGAAATAAAATTATATCTCAGTAATTCTCATAATTCTCAAGTAACATTAATGAGAGTTCAGATGAAAGCCTTTATAATATACTTAAAACCATATATAATGAAAAAGAAATACTTTTTGAAGGAAATAGTAAGGAATGTGGTGTTTATATAATACAATACATATTGTGAAACCATGGGAGAAACATAATATTTTTCATTATTTGGGATAAATTGTATGTCTTGAATTTTCAAAAAATTACTGCCTGAATCTATGTTAGAGATGATAATAATTAATTTAAATTATCAATG